TGATAACGAAGCTAAATCCGCAAGTAATACAGCTTGAACCACACTGGAGAGATAGAAGTAATACAGAAGGGTAAAAGGGAAAAGAAAGCTCTAAGAAACTTGCAGTATGGTAAAATTGACCCATTGCTGGACAGTTTGGGGCTGAAGCCATGGAAAGGCTGTTCAACTGAAGCTACATCCCAGCCTGCTAGGACAAAGCATCAAACACTGAGAAGTAACGCTTCGGGAGCTCTACAGCAAGTTATAATCTGTCACCAGTGTAAAACCAATGTCATCTAGTCTATCCTCGAGAAGATCTGTAACAACAGTAGTTAGAATGCTTTCAGGGCCCACCTTAGCTAGCTTCCTCTCCACTGCCAACAGATCCGAAATAAACAGCATCCCTTAAGATGTTTAGTATAAGGTTTAAATGAGGGTCCCATTAAAGGATGAGGGACGGCATGGGAATAGCTCACTCAGCAGTTGTCTTTTTTCGTAACACAATCCTCTCTCAGGAACTGGGACAGGACATTATACTAAACATCTGGGACTAAACATCTGGATACTAAACTGCAGGACATTTCCTAGTGATAAATTCTTGGTTTGCTAAGTAGGCTTACAGGGAAAAAAATCTAGTACGTCAAAAATGTAACATAGCCCTAAGCTGGTAACAACTTCTCTATGGCATTGGTCAGTAACAAAAGTTGTGCTCTCATGCTTAGTGATTACACAAATAAGGCAGGCAACTGTGTGCCTTACTCCTCATAGGGCCTTTGGAGTTGAGATGGTTTTGAGAACCACCATACAGAATAGGGGAATGACAGGCACAGACACAGGCTTATCCTGTTTGTAAGAAGGTCCGTAACTGAATTTGAAAAAGATACACCACTGTCTTCACAGTACAGGTAAGATCTTATACCACCTTTATCAAACTGATTATTGCTCTGGAGAGCAACAGGTGCAATAGAAGTAATGGAAAACTCAGGAAAACCTGGAACTTCCAGGTACATTTTGGAACCAAACACTAAGCGTATGTGAGAAGGGATATTAAAGCAAAATCACATGAAGTTGTGAGAGACTGGCTTGGTTTGCTTTTATGCCCCATCAAAAATAAAATCATGGAAGGTAAACAAATGGGGGGGAGGCAGGGGGAGGAAGCAAGACTTGTTAGTAACATGGAAAGCGACTACTAAGAAAATTATATCCGTCTATTACATACAAAGGGTCTTAGAGGCTTTTGTTTGGTTTTGGTACTGTGCTTACACGAGCAGTTGATTTGCTGACACTGCAGGGTACGGACTGCTACAATTCTAGTCTTTTGAGCAGTTACCCATTGAATCTCTGTACCAATGCACTCCAAAAGTGCATTCCAGCAGATTAAGTTGTATAAAGCTATATTCTACAAAGTTGCACGCACTTCTATGGAATATTTTATACTTAAAGGTTCAATTAGCACCATCAGTTAAAAAAAAAAAACAAACAAAAACCCATGTTTTTGTTGCTTTGAGATGCGATTAGCACCATCAGTTAAAAAAAAAAACAAAAAACAAAAAACCATGTTTTTGTTGCTTTGAGATGCATTGTTTCAGAGTAGCTGCTAATGGGATCAAAGGAAATCCTCATCCTTAATCTGCGTCACGTATTCATGAATAAGAGAATATGCTGATTCCCTTTTGTTACCAAGACACCAATGTTGCTGTGGTAACCACACTTACATGAAACAAACTCTACTCACCTGCACAATGATGCCCTTGCTCTTGTATTCTGCATGGAGGCCTCGGGAGAAGTAATCCACAAAAGCCTAGAGAGAAAAGAAGGGAAAGATGGAATATGCTATGCATTAAAATGGAAACTATAGTTTGCGTGTTTTTGTAAGCATATTTGAATTACTATTTATAGTTCCTGTTTTCAAAGTGAAAAACCTTAGGTTTTCAAAGGAACTTTGCATATTAGAACAATACCATCTGAATAGAAACCCTATGCTTACAAAGTGTTTTTACAGAAGTGAGGCTCAATCTGAACAAATAAAACCCTTTTTAATTTAGAAAGAAAAGAAACTAGATTTATTACATAGAGCTTAGTTTAAAAAGGAAAATAAGACTTTATATGTTCACATTATTCACTGCTTATGTCATCTCATGTCATCCCAGACTCTTTTTTTTTTTTTTTTTGAGTGATTTAAGTATGTTTCTCTTGTGCATGGTTTTTAAAACATAGTGTTTAAATACTTTATCTTCTCTCTTTACACTTTTAAGAAATGCTATGCCGTCGTGATACTTCTTCCTACAGATTCCTCCACAGATTCTCTTCCAAACTTTTAGAAGTTTTAGGAATTAAGGCTAAAAGTTTAAGAAAAGTTTAAAGAAAGAAGTGAAAGAGCTTAAGAGGTGGATGCTATTACCTGCTTTCAAGATGCCCTCCATAACCATGCCAAGAAAGTATTGTCCTAATAACCCAAAGCAACTCAGCGATTCAAACCAGCATAGATTCCCCCTCACGGAGGTTCTTCTAAACCACCTTTCCACTTTTCCCTCCTGCAGTCCAGTGAGACAAAAATATCGGGTTCTGCTATGGTTTCTTTTTTTAGTGAAACAATACAGCCAAGTAGGATGAACAGAGTACCTTCAACTGAAGGAACTAAGCTATGTTATCCATGCTTGAAGCTAAAATAAATACTAAATAAATTAATCCAAGTATTTAAGAAGCAGTTGCTTCAGACCAGTTTCAAAACAAACAGCAAAGCTTTAGTATTGCACCTGCTTTACAGTCTTCCTTTGCTGACCACATCACCGCTGGATTTACAGAACTCCTAACTGAAACCAGTGCTGAAAGCTTGCAGTGCCCAGTGGTTTTCCAGTAACGTCATCCTACCAAACTCAGCCTATACAAGAAGCAAAAGAAACACTCCCACACTGCTGGGCTATTTCTATAGACACTTTACTGAGCATACATAAAATCTGAAAGAAAATTTGATTTTGCTGTGCAGCAGATAGGTCCTTTTATTCTTCATCTTCAAGTTGCATGTACAAACTAGAAGGAGGCTCATTAAACCCAAAAAGCTTATTTTCTGTCCAACTGTTCTTTCCATCTCCCTTTCCTCCAAGTATAAGTTCTTAATGAAATCCAGTGTCTGTGAAAATCAGGCCTAGCAGCAATGATTCAAGTGAGCTAGTTGTGCTATTATTGCAACAATAAGGCACTTGTATAGACAGGCAAATAGTTCAGTGCAGTCCCTGAACACAGTTGCCAGATGTATGTGTGATAACTTCACAGAGCATATAAATAATCTATTAAAAATAAATAAAAAAAACCTATATTGTGCTAATCAAAGGGCTTTGATCATTCAAATTTCTAGCTATTTCTACATGACAGAGTCCTGAAATCAGTTACTGCTCCAAATACGGAGAGACAGTATAAAAAGACTGTCATCTCTACGGGTTGCAAAGAGCTTGCAATAAAGAGAACATTCATTTTACATGAGAAGAAAAAGCAACTTCCAGTATCCAAATAAACTTTGGAGTTTTTCTTCTTGAAGAACTTATTCCAAGACAAGGTGGGTTTTCTACCTCCAGATCCTCAAACCCACCAGCAGCCTCTAACTTAAAACAGTCTTAAAAATGTCCTCTAATTAAGCATCCCCTGAATAAACAGATAAACATTGCATTAAGAAAATTTCTTCTCCTTGGATATCCAGTAATGAACCCAAACACTAAAGACGTGGCAGGGAAAAATTGTATTTCACTTCTCATTAGTATTAATGCAGGCAGACAGGTAAGCCTGTCAAAAATAGGACTATGATTCCTTTAAAAGTATCTCATTTCTTGTAAAATAGGGAACTTTCCACAGGAAGGTTAAAGAGTTGGATTGCGTCTGTGCCCGATAATTAGCCAAAGCCATTAACTTAGACCTGAAGGATACTATGCTTTAAACCCCCTCTATATTGATGAAGAAAAAAACCCTAGAAATTGCAGATACAGTCTTTCTATAGCTACATTAGGGGAGTCACTTTCATGCTTACTAATCTTGCTGTGGTAGAAGATGAGCAGTGCTGAGAATAGGCAGATTACTTAACCTGTAATTGAGTTTCTTAGGGGGAAGGGAGAAAATATTTGAGATTCTCATTGAAAAAAGACTAACGAAAGCAGTGTAAGGCATATTATCACTAAAATCAGAAGCTCAATTCATTTCATAAAGCTGAAGGCACTGCCACAACGAAAGTGACCTTTTGTATTAAAACAAAGAACTGTGCTCTCAGGAAAGAGCTATTTCAAGAGCAAATTTTATCAGCTAAAACTAATTCAGGTTTTCACAATTTCTAAACTTAAATATCCCCTCCTTTAGTATGAATAAAATAGCGTGTATCAATTCCTTTCTGGAAATACGAAGACGTTACCAAGAATCTACAGGAAACATAGGTCTGTTCTGCCATGAATGACACTACTGAAGGTTTCTTTGTCCTGTCAAGGTTCTGTTTAGACTCTGAAATCCTTGAAGTATTTAAGGTAATTACCAGGTGCACCTGAAAAAGCTGTAGTGCCATACTACTTTAATACCAGTGTAAATGTCTCTTGCATTTAAATTTTATCATGTATACTTCAGTTCCATACTGTGTATCCATATTCTGCCTTTACGGCATTAACTGGAGACCTTTTAGGTGGACATTTTAGAAGCCCCTGTAAGTATCTTCAGAAAAAAAAAATAAAGAATAGCAGCAGAAAGACAGAACTGTCCCAGGGACACAAAGAGGAACCAGAGCAGATAAATTTAACATGAAATGTAGATCTAGAGTAGTAAACCAGCCTATTGTGGAAGAAGACAGGAAATGTCAGTAAAAAGTGTTTGGCTAAGTGGGGAGCTTCTTTATAAACTCAAAATAAGCATGAGACAGAAACAAGAAGTAACAAAACCTAAACATAAAATGTTATTGGGTACTTTTCCTAGCTTGGACTATAAAGTCCAAGCTAGGAAAAGACTAGCAAGGGACATTAAGGGTAGCAGTAAAGGATCCTACAGGTACGCTAGTTTTAAGAGGCATTTCAGAGAAATGGGGTTCTGTTGATGGATAAGGGAGACAGCCTAGAGATAAAGGACAGAAAAAGGTTAAGGTATTCAACGCTTCTCTTGCCTTCGCACAGCCAAAGCCTGCTCATGTACCTCTGCATGCACCAACTTTGTTTAACAGAAAAGACAGGCAGAGGCAGCAACAATTCAGGGACTACTCAGAGAAGTTCAATATATTCAAATATGTGGAGCCACCATGGATACACTCACAAGAGCTGAAAGAACCAGTCCATGTGAATACGAGTCTGCTGCCTACAATATCTGAAAAATTATGGAAAGTGGGGGATATCTTTGACAACTGGGAGAGGGCTAACGTATTCCTCCTCGAAAAGGCAAGAATGATCCCATCAGCTTTAACTCAGTTTGTGGAAAGATCATGGAGCCCTCCTCTTGGGTATCATTTCCAAGCACAAAAAGGACAAGAAGATACATCAGAAACAGTCCCAGATTTGCTAACAGCAAATCACGTTTGTCCAACTAAATTGCTTTCTCCAACGGAGTGGACTAGCTTTGTAGATGAGGGGAACAGATTTTTAATATATGAAAACTCTATGTATGTGTTTGTGTATATATAGATACATTTTCACTTCAGTGAAGCTTTTGACACCATCTTCTGCAGCATTCTCATTTGGAAGTTGAGCAGATATGTGCTGAAAGGACAAATTGCTGGGCAGACTGAAAATTGGCTGGACCACCAGGCTCAAAGGGCCATGATCAATAGCTTGACATCTGGCTGATAACAAGCAGAGAACCCTACAGATCAATACAGACACCCTTATTCTTCTGTATCTCCTATCAAGTGACCTAGATGATGACACAGAGCACACCCTCAGCACATTTGCAGATGACAACATTAGACAGAGTGGCTGACACAACAGAGCTTCAGTCCAGAGAGACCCTGATAAACTTGATTATTGTTAAACATCATGAGATTTCCTGACTGGCACAGAGTGAAGTGCAAAGTTCTGCGCGCAGAGTGGGACAGCATCATGCCTTAGGTTTGGTCAAGTAGCAGTCCTGCTGCAAAGAACCTGGAATTTATGGTGGCTTCCAGAGAGAAGATAAGCCAATAATCCAGTCACTGCAAGAACATGAAATGACATACTGGGCTACGTTAGCAGGATGTATGGTCAGCAGATCAGGGGAAGCTGAGTATTTGGTAATGGCGAGGCCCTAGAACTCCATCCTTTCTCTTACCTGAAATGCTTAACTTAAGGTAACTAATAAAAAAGGAGGACAAATGTTTGCTTCCAGCAAGCACCACAAGAGTCCTACTTCAATAAGTATATATACATATATATTGAAGATACACATCTTCAGTAAGATTAGGGAAAAAAGTTTCAAAGTTAAATAAGAAAGTGTGTTAGTCAATGTCCCTTCTCAACCTCACACTAAGCTTGCTTGGTACACTAGCATCCTTTTCCATGTTAAAGTAGAACACATGATGAAATATATAAAGGTAGTTGTTTCCATGCCAGTTAACCCTTACACTCTCTTTTTCTCTCAACCTTCCAGCTTCCACTATTGGAAAAATTCAAGTTAGAAACGTAGTACTTTTAGTTCATGAAAGCACCACTAGATGGACACCAAAACATTCATTCCTGTAATGTTGGCTTATGTTTGACACTTGATTTCAGTGTGGAAAAGAACACTTACCTTGGTTGCAGAGTAAAGAGTCAGCAGTGGAGTTGGATACATCCCAGCAGCTGAGGCGATATTCAGGATTACCCCTTTTGATCTGAAAGGCAGTGAAGACACATTATCATGAAATGAAGGAAACATCTTTCATGTTTCAGAAAATTACTGCAAGCCTAAAGAAAACCTTTAGGACACAACTGAGATTAAGATCTGTTTAAAAAATTAAAAATAAAAAAAAAAAAAACCCAAATCCTAAACTGAAATTTAGCAATATGACTCAATAGAAGTATTCAAGCAGCTGGTATAAATCAGGAACAACTCTAAGGTCAATACAGCAAGAGAATCAAGCTCCATACATATATATACACACACACACTGGGCTAAACTATGCCAAACTGATTGATTGAGCAAAGCTGGCACAAGTCCAAAAGGCAACTTCTAAATGTCAGGCTAAGATTGCTGAAATGGCAATACAAGTTTGTTGTATAGTTTACACTTTGATAATCCCTTTCATCTTCTAAATGTTACTTCATGATGGATCTTCAAGATAGGAAGTATCTGAATCTACTGCTCACTCGAATACAGAAGTGTTTTAATATACTATGGAAGATATTCAGTGGATGACTACAGAAAGTATGAGTTGTTTTACAGCTGTGTCACAGTTAACACTGACAGTATTCCACAATAATATTTAGGTAAGGGTACCAGTCTGAAATTAGCTACCACCTGCTCTGCCAAGCATGTGCAGGTAGGACAAAGTCCAACTCCTGGATTTCCCAACCCGCTGACTGTTTCTGAGCATGTCTATTTCTGTGACTAGTTTTACCTACAAAAACAGACATACTACTTAGTGCTACGTAGAAAGAAGAATTAGTTTTAAAAGCTTCAGGCAAATTAGGGCAAGTATGCTGTTAGAAGGTGCTACCAGACACTCCACCACAGTGAAAGATGCATCTCTGCTTCTTCTTACCCTGTGGTAAATTCAGGCCAATTTTACCTGAAGGTACTACTAAGCATGCCGTACTTTAGTGCAGAGTGCGAACGTTCATGCAGGTAGGCATCACGCAGCTCAACTCCTGCAGATTCGCATACGAGTTTCTCACCATATTTGTTCATCCACATATAACCTATGCTACTGCTGCCACAATGATTTAAGTAGCCATCTTGAAAACAAACACCTGAGTGTAAGTGACCCTTAAAAATTAAAACGATATAACTCTCTGAAAATTGTGACAATAGATTCAAACCAACATGGCTTCTGCCATGATACAAGTGTGAATTAAATCTGTGATTGATTCACATCTAGAAATGAGATGGCTAACGTGACAGAAAAGAATCATTTCGGTCATTTGGGATTTCAAACACCTTTGACAAAGTTCATTGTATTTTTCAAGTTATCTGCAAGGTTTGGTTGGCGAAATAAAGTAGTAATGTGGATCAAAATATGTAGTATGGAGAAAATAAGACCACAAACTAATCATGAATTTTCACGACAGCAAAAGGTTAACAGTGGATGCCAGAAGTTTCTCATAGCAAGACAGGTGGTGCTTGTGATATTTATTCATGAGCTCAAATGGGGATTAGCAGTGAAATGAGTATTCATGCAGTTTTTAAAAGATTACCAGATTGGAGAATACTATAAGGAACTTTTTAAAGAGTGCAGACTGCTATGTGAACAGACTACAGAATGGCAGATGAAAAATCAATATAACAAAACCAACAATGGATACTAAAGAAAATAACATGAATTAATCGCAAACCTTGAAGAACTCTAAATCAACTATCCACTCCCTGGAAAACCTGAACAAAGTCAACAAGGAGTTCTCTTTTGTGCAGCAGTCACCAAAACCAGCCAAAGAACAGGATGGTGGGAATGGCAGGGACAGATCCACCACCACTGAAATCTTGTATTACAATCTATGGAACACTTTTATCCCTCCAAATATAGGACAGAAATATTAAGAACCTGATGATTTAAGAAAGGGGAAAAGGAGGAAAGAAACCCAACCCTGATACATCGATGAGGTGAACAGATTGGCTCAATTTAGCTATTTAAGAGACTATTAAGAGCAGTCATGATAAAAGTATACAGACTAATGAATGACAAAGATCAAGATCTTGATTTATCCTCTCAGAATACAAAAGAAAGATGACATTTATTTAAATGAAAGACTGAATTTGATCCGATAAAGGGAAGTGCTCTTCCCATATTCAGGCTATGGGAGTACTTGCCACAAAACTTAATTGAGGACAAAAGCTTAACAGGATTCATAAAGGGGTGAGCGTTTATATGGACAAACATGAGCCTCACACTTACAAAACAAACTGAACCTTTAGAAGAGCAGTTGGCATTCAGGCTGTAAAGCACAGGTCTCCAGCGTCTGGCTAGACCGCAACTTTCCAGCAGAAGTGACCATCATCTAGGTGCAGTGAATTAATTGTCTGACCCAGTGAAGAAAACCCTCTTGGAAACACAAATTAATAGCAGCCCCTTGCAGAAGCTCCATGTATTGGTCTCTTTGAAGCAGTCAATGCTACTGTGGGTTTTGTGGTTTGTATTTTTTCTTTATAAAGAAAACAGTCCTACCCTTAAAAGCTCATAACTTAAAACCTCTAGATAAAAGGAAACTGAGAAGCGTGCGTGTAGGGGGAACACTTCCAATTACTCCAATTACAATTTTGCTTCTTAGAGGAATCTCAGAAGAAATGGTTTTAGGGAGGGATCTGAAGAACTACGCGAGCATCAGTGCAGCAAAAAGAAATTTTGGCTCCATCCAACTCAACTGTGCACTTCAAAAAAAAAAAAAAGTTGGTCAAGATGAAGAGAGCCGGACCCACACCCTCACACCTCCCCATCATTCTACCTTAAGTGGTCCAGCACCAGGGAGGCTATATTTAGCCATCTCCCTGTTGCTGTGGCAACCAGCGCCTGCTCCAGCTGCACGCCAAGTGGAAAGAGCAAGCTTCCTCTGTAATGTAATTATGCACTTGCTACTTCCCTGGCAATAAATACCATAGTTTGATATTCGTCTAGAAGCAGTCAACTGATTGTTGTTGTTGTTGGGTTTTTTTGTTCCCAAAGATTCCAAGCCTCAATTTTCAGTTCTACGAGTCTCCCACCTTAGACAGTAGCCTGAAAATTTACAGAGGAACTGCTCATTTAAGTGTAATAGGAAGCCACAGATTATAAATTGTCACTTTAAGTGTTCAGAGCACAGGAGAGGAGCCATAGCAGACAATCTAAATGCCAGTCCCAGAAGTAACATTCATCTAATGCTGCTGTGTTTATTATAAATAAAAAGTAAGAGACGCACCAAGATGCAGTCGTGTTTCCTCCTTACAGACCTGGATGCAAAGCATGTAAAGTCTCCTCTATTTCAGTATTTATCTTGTAATATATTGCCATAAAACCAACACTCAAATACGTAAAAGTATGCACTACCGCTGCAAGATGCTATAGTGTCCTACGTCACATCTATCTACTCAACACATTATCCTCCTTGAACAAGTGAGGCACAACAGTGGGATTTCTAGCCTAGTTTTATTCTTAGACCCTGGAGCCCCTTTTCTTAACCTGCAGGCCCACGCAAGAAATTTATGGTTGGCCCAAAGAGCAGCCAAGTACAGCTACCATTCGTTCAGGTTCTTGGATTTGCTGGACAGCCATGTCCTTCTGTGGTTACAGACTCTTAGCGGTGTTAATGGTCTGTGAGCTATGACTATGCAGGAGTTGGCAGCTGCAGACGTTGCTTCTGTGCACTGCAAACCCAACTGACTTCACAAAACCCAACAGAAAGTGGAAGCTGTTTCAAATATCTTTTCTTGGGACAGAAACCAAAGCCTTCATTCAAATGGAGCAGTCAAAGTGGCTCCTCACACACAAGAAAAAAAGAAAAAAGATGTGTACCTTTTTTTTTTTTAACCACTATTAACCTTTTCTTTCCAAGCTTTTTTAACACTTATCTTTGAGATTCCTGAGATAATCATGTAGTTAAGAAAAGTGAGAAGAAACATGACATGGTGTGCTCAAGGGTAGTCAGAACCACAAGTCAGTAGGATCCTGGTTTGCTGCCTTTCATTCAAATCATCTTACCCAGGTTAATACCTAACAGAAAAACATATAGAGGATATCCTGTAAGCAGAGTATATATCCTTCTGCCCTGAGAAGCTGACGAGATCAACTCTGCCAAATGGATAACTACAACATTTCTTTGGACAAAGAAGAAAGTAAGGCAAGAGATTGTTAGAGCTTCAAAGTTCCAAAAATTGTTAACAAAACAACATTAAATCCTTTGAAAGCAGAATGGCTTTGGTCACGTTGGCATCTTCACAGGGCAGTGGTTTTACAAGAGGCAGGTCCCTTTATCTATCAATAATAATGCACGGGCAAGGAGTAACTTTTGACTTACAAACTGTGAGCAGCTAACCACCACTGTACTATAACCCTCATCCTCTACTCTAGCTTTATTGGGAAATATTACACCCTCACCCCAGAGCTCCGTCTTGGGTCTTCTTTTCTAATTCAGGTTTCTTTACACGAAATAAGCTCATTCTTATCTCCTGGTTGTTTAACTAAGAATCTAAGCTCGCCATCACCCTGATGCACTAGACATGGACTCCCATACTGGCCACTAGCTCTGACAGTTTGTGCCCATGAAGCAGCTTTGTTTTAGATGTAGAACATTCACTCTGCATCTGTGCAACATTTGAATCCAGATCTGCAACGAAGACTCCCAGATAGCAGGTTGACACAAGACAAAACAATTTTTTTGTTAATCTTTGTTGGATTTGGAGGTCTGCCCCATATATATGCTCCTCCTACAGTATTCGCTTGGAGGCAATACCCCGGTGACTGCCACGTGTGGTTCTACACAGCTTTCCTCAGTATTGAGAGTGAAGCTCAGACCTGACCTGGGGCAAGCCCCAGCAAGCCCGAGTTAGCACCACAACCGCCTGGGACAGTCAACGTCAGCTAGACAACAGCCTGGAGGGACTACACGAAAACTGTGCACCTTATAGTTTCACCTGGGAGCTAGCTAAGAAGTCAGTACACGTCTTCCACGGCGACAGTGGTGTGCATTAACTCTTCTTTTAAAGAGCTGGTCTCCAATTCTACTTTTCCAAACGATTACAGCCTTTCCTCAATATACCTCCTACTGTATAATGAGAATATATTCTTTGCATCCATTTTACTTACAATGGCTTAGAGAAATAGCCTTAAGAAGGTTATTCCTAGGAACTGTAACCACCCCCTCAGAATAGCAGGTTGTTGAGTTAGTGCTGATGAGTCAGACGGGCTTTTTAATTCTGTTCTAAAAGGAATCACCACAACAGTGGAGAAGGGAGAGGAAAAATAAAAAGGGAATCGAGTGGAAAAGGCTTCCACCGTCTGATGATTCATGCACCATCAGCATGACTCACCCAGCATTACTCTGCCATTAAAACATGGAGACTAGGCTGATTAGTCACAGTAATGAATTTTTCAAGAAAGGATTCTCCCCTATAAATAATGATGACTTTGTCTGGAGAGTGTTAGTGTGACTCACCTTTCCAGCATGCCGGGCAGCACCAATCGTGTCATCTGCAAAAAGAAAACATTCGTGATGGCTGAGAATTCAGACACCAGACAGCCAGAGACCGAGGGAAGCCTCCCTTCCTCCCAGAAGCAGCTGCCACCCCCTCCACCCCAACCAAGGCTCGGGGAAGCAGAGACCATACTTTGCGTAGGCAGTTTATTTTTATTCTACCTGGATAACTTGGCTCTGTCAAGTAGTGTGTGCACTGAATCTGGTGAACCCATCCAGCTAGTAGCATCAGTACAATAAAAGTAAATAAAAGAATGCCTTCACTGCTCCACAGCATCCGTGGCCTCTAAAGAACATTAAAGCACCAGAGTACTACGGTACCAGGTATGATCGTTCTCTCTCCACAAAAAGCATCTGTCTTCCTCAAGACTGACTAAATTTACCACCTATGCCAAAACTTAAGACAATATCCAATGCATTTTAGCTGGGCCTGTGGAACTGCTGATTTCAAGTTAAAAATAAATTGTGGAGCAGCAAGAGCACTGGACAGAACTAGGGAAGATAAGTTCCCTACGTTATGTTACCTACAGAAAACATTTAAGACTCCAAAACATTTTTTGCTGATTATACAGATGTTGTCACACTGAAAAACCTACACCCCCACCCGGAAAGTAGCCTGGGAAACCTCCCCACTGCTCTGGAAGCTCCTGCCTTCATTATCACTCTGAGCAATCCATTTACGACCTGGTTGAAGGATTCTCTAGAGCAGTAATTCTAAAAGAAGCTTCCCAGTTGCAGCCAGAGTAGCTCTGACAAGGGAAACAAATCAAGCAAAAAATTTGACAAATTTTTAATTAGTGTGAAAAAGTTAATTTTCCTACTACTAGTTACTACCATCCTAAAATACAATTTAAATCCAAAACTTCTCCCTTTAAGAAATAATGTTGTCAAAGTTCAGCTTGTGCCAAATACTATCCTCCCCCCAACCAACCCTGTTAATAAATGTCATGTCACTGACACCAAAGACAGATCAGACAAGAAATATAAGTTGTTACCACTTTTAAAATACATCTTCAAAAGGTGTTCCAACAAAGTTATTGCGAACACAGTGAGGAGGGGCCAATAAAATATCCCCTCAAAATGGATCAAAATATAATAGTACTCCCACCAAATTACCTTGACAGCTTAAAATATTAAACATTTCAGCAGTACAGGGGAAAACACACACACACACAAGAAATCAGCACATACAGAAGCACAAAACACCTGTAAGCACTTTTATTACAAAAAAGCAAATTTTATTGTAGCAAGCTGTTCATATTGTATTAGTCCTTACATATGACTGCATCTGGGTTTGGGGGGATTTTGTTTTTATTTTTTTAATTATAAAACATACCTTTTCAAGAATAAAGGAGAAAAATCACAAAAGAAAACAAAATTTCAGTTGATTGCAGTTGACAGACAAAGAAAATGGTAGAGAAGGGCTGTGGTTTGTGTTTTATTGGCATTTCTCACCCAGAATAGATTCTCCCAACAGCCATGCTGCAATGACAGCTTGGATAAGGGACTGTACAGGCTGAAGTTGGCTGTTGACATATTTAACTCTTAACACTGACCCAGAAGTCAAACTAAGTATTCAGAGTTGGTAAACATCACCAAGCCAAACAGATCTGATTCAACTACAAAAACCCTCTAACTTTGACTAAGTAACTAAGACTTAATAGCCTAACTTAATAGTAGACATGAGCTTTTTCATACACTAATGTTTCAGAAGAGATGTGGAAACAATTTTCTATTTTAATGTTAAAGGATAAAGAATGATTTGGGCTGATTTTAAAACTCGTTCAAGACTGGCAGATCTTTTATCTGGTGCAAGCTTTACGATCACTCCGATAGATCCCTTGGCAAAAAGCAGCACACTGTTTCTTGCCTCTAAGAGCAGTGTAATGCTGCATATCATCTCCACAGGTTGACACATGGACATTGACTGCAATTGCCTTCCCTTAGGCAACCCATAAACTGTCTGAAAAACCAGTATAGGATCTCCCATTGTAATGCAGAGGGGACCCCACGTTTGAAACTTTGTCATAAATCCACACAAACGCATTCAGGGTCTAAATCTGAACTGCAACCCACCAAGCAGCTCTAACAGTGTATCATGAACCTGCTGGTTACTATTGATATCCAAACAAGAGCGCAGAGAAGTACGCTACAATAATTGTTTGACTTAAATAAAAAAAACTATGAAGCCATTGACAGCTGAGGTATTACAATAGGTACACCAGTCAGGTAGAAATCAAGAAGTCTTTCACCACCAGCTGTGTTAAATACTCTGTTTCTAAAGTTCAGCTGGAACAGGCAATCAGGTTTTTGCCCCTTCACAGAAAAACACTGATGGCAAAACTGGATTTCATACTCAACATAATTTCCTTTTGTTTCCATTAAAATTAATATTTTGACGGAATTTAAAAAAAATCTGTAAAATCGGGCAAAATTGTTTTTACTATCTGTATTTTTACATCTTGTGTTGTGTGAGAAGAGATATATGAATATTCAGTATCTTTATGTACAGGAAAAATACCAATTTTTTTAAAGAATAAAATAACAGAAGGCAGCTCTGAGTCAGTTTCACCTCACCCAGCCAAGTCCACACTCAGACTGTTCCAGCAGCACAAGAGCACTATTGGAAAAATGCTGGCAGGGCATTCCGCAGCCATATTCAGGTCTGGCAAATTTATACATTGTATGCACACATAAAATATTCCCAGCATTAATTCAAATAAAACAATCTATAGCAG